TATATATATATATATATATATATATATATATATAAGTTTAAATAAGATACAAGATGTTAATATGAACAAAGTAGGTGTAGATGAGCAGATTCTTGATATGGGTCAACCAGATTCTTAAAGCTTTAATATTTCATTTCTTCAAAGTCATGTTATCTAACGGGACAACATGTTACATTCCCAATTCCATCTTTTTAGTCATTCATATTACCAGATTTTGTAATTCAAATCAAGTCCAATTCCAGATTTAACTATATTTAGTCTTTAAGTAAATTATGCGGTGGTTACCCTTAAATAATTGTAATTTCACATACAAAATTTCATCTAATATCGCCAATAATCTCTAAAATCTAACCCTAACCATGGTTTGCAAAACTGAAGGGTAGACAAAATAGACCCATAATAATTAGTAACTGCTATCTATGGTGATGATGATCTTTTCTTTTTTGATGATTTGGAATTGGAAGAACGTCCTCCATTGCTTCTTTTTTTGTCACTCTTTTTGTTATCTTTTGGTGTCCCATGTTGTTGTTTTTCTGGCTTGGTTTTACTTTTACTAGAAGACTTAACACTAATCACATCACCTGATGATGGTATCTTTCCACCACTTGGCAAAGCACTTTCAAAATCCGCATCCTTATCAGCAATCGCATACCTCTGAAGAAACTCCGGGTTCAATAACCCTTCACTCTTTGCTTTCATCTCATCCTATATATATATAAAATCCAATTAATATATACCCACATGAACAAAACAAACAAACAAACAAACAAACCTTCACTTTCTTTGCAGCTTCATCAAGATCCTCATCCACAGAAATCAAATGTGGCTTCAACACAACCTGGATGGAACCAATTAAATTAGGGTGAGTTTTTAGGGTTTAGGGCAAAATTAAAAAAAGTTTTTCATGACTTACTTCTTTGACTGGTGGAAGAGTGGCACTGAACTGTTTTAAAGATACTGAATTCAAATATTTCTGAAACTTTTTCATCACTTTCATGAATAATGACAATACTTGTTGTCTTTCCAACTTCATCACTCCCTATTAAAAGATAAATAAATGAACAATCAAACACTACGCTTTTTAAGTATGTATTTAGAATTAAATAAAAGATTAAGTTAACTAATGAGAAAAAAAACCTCGGTATATGAAGCATCTTGGTTCTGTAATCCCATGCATAGTAACACAGAAGCTTGAGCATATGATAATGTAACTGGAAACTTCTCCTGGAAGTATAGGTATGCAAGAGGCAGTTTCAGGTCTGAAATCTGTAAATTAATAAAATAACATATATATTAAACAATGCAGAAAGATGAATAAAAAGATGCGAAGTTAAAAAAAAAATCAGGATTCTTACGAGATGATGATCAGCAAGGTGGTTGACATAAGATTCTAGTCTTTTCATACTGACTTGAGATTTGATGATGTCATCATATATCCCATGTGAAATTGTTGTTGATGAAGGGTCTGCATCCGGGAAGCTGAGTTTTGGATCCAAGATACTACATACAAAAGGAAAAGTATTTATTTAGTATTATATATCATTGAAATTCAATATGGAAGATGTATTGTATTGTAGTGTGTGTGTACCTCATTGCAAGCTTGTATTCCATTGTGTTAAATCTTGGAGAACATAAAAGCCTAGCAAATGCTGCCTTAAAAGCTCTATAATAATCACCAAAGAATCCCCATTCATCATCTGATTTTTTAACTTCAATTTCATCGTTTGCCAGCAGTTTTAGAACCATACATGTGTGTTCACCAGTCACAGCATTCTGTATTATGAAAAGATGATTGAACATGTAAGAAACAAATATTAAAAACAAGTTTAAAAAAGATTAATTAACAAACTTAACTGGAACTTCACAAATGTAAAATGGAGCAAATTTATGTTTTCTCCAGAATCGAAATAAGTCGAGAGTAAGTCCAAATGAGACACCCAAGTAATGAAGCTTTTCAGGCTTTCTTTCACGTAGATGTACAAGTAGAGGAGGTAGGTCGGATCTTGGCTTTATATTTTCTTCAAGCAATGACACCTGTCAGTTACAAATTTCAGAAAAAGTTTTATCCAAAATTCCAATTAAGAAAAAAGATCTATCTTACTTTCTCAGCAGCTTCAGTGATTCTGAGATTTGAAGACTCTGGTTTGTTTTGGACATCATCTTCTTCAGAGATGGAAGTGAACTGACCTTCAAAGTACCTATTATAAGAACTTACTGTAATTAACAACTATGTGATCAAAGGGGTATATATGGAAATACCAAAATATAAACATGTTGATTAAAAGTAAGTACCTTGATAGCAATTCTATGGCAGCTGAACCATATCCAAGCTGTAAGTAACAGATAAGACAAGAATCATTTACTATTGTGAGTGACAGATATTGGAAATAAATATTATGATATGTACATAAAACACACACAAACACACACCTTCATTGCATTTGGATGTGTTGCGATGCGGACGATTCTAGCACCAGAAAGAGTTGGGAATTCTTTGTCTTGGAATTGTTCACAGAACTTCCATGGAATTTGGTCTCCAGAAGGTTGATGTCCAGCACTTAAACTTCTCATTGCAGAAGCCTGTGAAATTTTTCCTTCAAGACACACCTGTACAACAATTTAATAATCAACCATATGAATATTGAAAAAACAAAAATAAACAAAAATAGCAAACCTGGATGACACAAAGTATATCTGGGAGCTGATTTCTTGACTCGTTAACAGGACCTGCATACATAAATAAATATAGGCAATGTACTTTATTTTTTTTACCTATAATAGCTATATACTTACATCTATAACAATAACAAACTATGAAATATAATATCATAAACAAAAAGTGTACCAAGTAAGACGAACAAGTGATGAGCTGGCGCATCAGCCAATAACTGGAGATCATTTGGAGAGTTTTTGTAGTGAGAAGCAACATATAAGGCCATCATTCTCTGAATAGTGTAAGAACAATAAATAAACACCAATACTATACACGTGAATAAATTAACTAAAAACAATAATCAATAAAATAACAAATACCTGAAGAAATAGCTCGCTGTCTTTATGATATGAAAAAAGGGTATCCCGATTAACATAATAAAGATCACACTCACTAGGAGGAGGCAACCTGTTGATACTAGGAATAGAATTTGCAATATCCAAACAAAGTAAATTGTTAAGCCATGATTCGATTGGATCACCATTTGCATATCTAATAGCTTCACTCAAATCAATCTTCTTAAAAAGCCGGCCTGCATTGCATTGAAATAAATCAAATCATTTTCTTGAAGAAAACTAAATTAGATGTTCATTTAATCATCTTGATGGATTATTATTATTATACCAGAAGGAACAGCTTCTTTGCTTTTTGAAGATGTGCGACTTTGTTCTTCAAGTTGTTGAAGTAGCTTTAATGATAGAGATCGCCCTGTACCTTCATATCCATTAACAGTGGAGGAAAGGAAAACAAGATAAGGACCCAATAAGGACTTGACAAGTGGGAGTGGAATAGCTGCAGCTTCATCAACCACCAAAAGTTCAACTTGTGACAGTTTTCCATGTTCATGTGGTTGTATGTACTGAATTGTCTGTCTGTGTTGTTTGTAGATATTTATTCTGATGGTCGCTTTTTTAAACTCTGGATTTGAGCTTTTCACAATATCATAATCCAAATGTTCCTATAAAACATGTCCATAAAGTTAATATATAATCATATTTATACAAAAAAAAAGGTATACAATATGAAATGGAAACAAGTTTTACCTTGTACTCAAGCAGACGGAACCCCGTTGATACAAATTCAAACAGAGTTTTGAGGTTTTCTGGGCTAGGAGCAGTCACAAATATATTTGAATACCTGAAAAATCATGTGTTAATTAGATTCATGAAGTCAACAAAAGTCAAAAGAAAGTCTGATACCCTGCAGCAACAGCTCCAGCAATTGCAAGACCAAGTGCAGCTGACTTTCCACGCCCTCTACCAGCAAGTAAAGCCACAGTGCTACGAAGTGTTTTGTCCAAAATTGCATCAAGAAAAGTAATCACAGCTTTTCCCTGAGTAAATTTATATAAATTTGACAAATTATGAAACTGGTAAACCTGTATTAATAAAAAATAAAAATAAATAAAAAAAGTCGATACCTGGTCCAATGTGCAGCAACTTTTAATCAATGGGCCAACAGGAAAGTCGTCTTTTAATTGCTCTTTTAGATCTTTTAAGTCGCGTTCTGCTTCTGAGAGACCTTCAGAGTCCTAAGATTAAGAAGGGAAAAAAAAAAGTTTTAGAAAGTTGTGTTAAGATAAATTATAATGTTTGAGAGATTAGAAGTTTACCTCTTCTACTGGAACTTCTGTGACTGACTTCATATGAGATGAGATTGGTAAGATATTTAACTCATCATCCATAACTATACATGATTGACATGATGCAAGTGAAAGGAGGAAACGTTCATTGAAGCGTCCAGTTGCTAAAGAATGAGATTCTGTACGGAATCTCTCATGAACATCCTGCAAAATAGTTGGAAAAGATAATTTTGAATCACACGATGAACATAATAAGCTTGCTTAAAGCAACTGGTGTAAGGAATTGTGAATCATACCATGACCATGGTGTAGAGACTAGTGAGCGAAGACAAAGAACGAAGCAACAGCATAACCAATCCACCACCTTCCACTGTTTCTATGGTTCTTGCTAGAAGATTTGGAGTCAACGCCTCAAAATCCTAAAAAAAAGGGGGGAATTTGAGTATAAACATGTAGAAGATACCATGGAACTTCATTTCATGTGAATGGCAATTGTAATCTACCTGAAGTATACACATGCCGAATGTATTTCCAAGAATCCTCTCAGAATCCTTGTACTGGCAATAAGTGATCCCTGCAGTTTCTAGGAAAAGTGAGAAGGGATCAACCTTCTCAGGATCTAGAAGTCCTCTATGCATAAGCTTCTTCACCTGCTTGGCCCGTTTTTTCTTATGACTGTCAAACATAGTCAATGAACATGAAATTAGCACAGAATTCTAAGCATGGTGTGGCATTTAAAAAAATCAAAATTGAAGTTGAAAGTAACTTGCTTGAAATCCAAAATCAAAGCCTACAACAATGGATAGAACTAAAAAGTAAGAAAAGAAAAAAAAAACAAGGTGACAGGAAGCACCTGCTAAGTTCAAGTTTATCCCTGTAACACCATAGAACATTAGGTCTTGACTTAACAACTGATTTGCTAAGCATGTAGTGGAGGTTCACAATCTGCTCACAACACAAACCACCACACATATTAATAGATAAAATCAATACTATATAAACAACATATAAATATTCGTCTAGGTATAAACAAAATTTTGTGATTTTGTTCCAGAGAGTGGACTAGCCTGGTCGCGGGACTTGTCACCGATGATGACGAACATTGAACGGTGTCTCGTTTTGACTCCATTTTCAAGTAGGGTTCTAATACGTTCGTCCACCTTCTTCCTCATTCTGCTCGCTTTTGTTCTGCTAGCTTCGGTAACGAAAACAGGCGACGGCGAGGTTCAATTGGCGAATCTCCGGCGAACTGTTGATATTAGCTTTAGCAGAGAGCGACGCTGGTATAGACTAGAACTGATTTTAGGGTCTATAAATATTGGGCTCTATTAACGATTTCCTATTTCATGGGCTCGAAGAAACAGGCCTGAGTTTCTTTTATGATCAAGGCCAGGGTCAATGAACATACACTAACCCGGCAAATTAGTGGGCTCCTTTTCACCTTGCGACACCCTATATTTGATGTAGTAAACCCACCAATTTCAAATTCTGCAACAAGATTCGATAGTGTTGTAGGATTTTTTTTTATTATTGCCTCTGATAGGAAGTGCAAGTCTTGAAGAAGAAAAGATGAAGTGTAATAAACCCATAAAGATTCAATGGTTGTATCCTCAAATCTTTGTATTTTTTTCCTTTCAATGAAGAAAAAGTGAAGTGCAATAATCCCAACAATATAAATATTATTAAATATGAAAATTAAATTTTTTGGTGTTATCTTTGGTGTGCATTTGGATTTAGACCTTCATATTAATATCAAAGTTACACCATTTTAGTGTTTATTTTAGTGTTGTGGTTAGAGTTTGTCTAAAGTAACATTTTTTTCTATTTTAATTAACTTAATAAATATATAGATTATAAATATAAATAGTTTTTTTTTATTTGTAAAATTCTTAATCAACAAAGTGGAGATATGATGAATTTAGATGATATTTAATTTATTTTTTTATTTTTTTCCACAACATATAAACCGTCAATCACTACCAGACCTAATCAACTATGTATATATATATATTTTTCATCTGTTATATAATAGAATGTTTCATTTATAAATAGTGAGGTTAAACCTCGTATAAATATGGATACATAAGAGACCTAATCTAAACTTCAAAGGGTTTGGGCTTAAACCTTAATCACTAACATCCCCCCCCCCCCCCGCGCAGTTTGATCAGGAGGGGACGATTAAACTAGAAAAACAAAAACATAAAAACATAACATAAATGAAGAAAGCGGCATCAACGGTGGCAGAGCTCTAACGATGACGGCTAACAATAACTGCTCGTCGAAGAAGGAGAAAGAAAAAGTGCCGGCCAGCAACGGTTCCTTTGTATAAGAAGAAATGAGTGGCGACGGCGACGATCATCAAGTCGGCGGTAGAGGAGTCCCGAGAAAAGCAACGAGAAAGAAAGAGGGTTCGAGCTGCGGCAGACGGTGCCTGTTCCAACTGGCTCGGAAAATATATCTGGAGAAGAAGCAAGTTGAGGAGAAAGTAAAAAGCTTAGAAGCGGGATCCATCCAACGATGAGACCTAAGCAAACGAGGCAGTAGAAAAAACCGAAGTAAGAGCTCTATTTTGGTGTCGACAACTGTTTTATTATTTAGGAGGAGAAAACGAACAAACGAAGGAAATATGAAGCATAATGAAGGCACCTTCGATGACTATGAGATAAGGTCGCCGGAGGTGGAGGGTGACGGCTGCAGGTTGTGGTCAGCAGTAGAGTTTTTAACCTAAAACTCTCATACCATGTTATATAATAAAATGCTTCATTGATAAGGTTAAACTTCGTATAAATAGGGATATATAAGAGACATAATCTAAACCCTAAAAGGCTTGGGCCTAAACCATACTAACATCATCTTCTTCTACTACTCAATTGCTCCTCTCATATCCTGTCTGTTGCATTGTTCCCCTTTTATATATATATATATATATATATATATATATATATATATATATATATATATATATATATAT